CACCAGTCGTCAAAATGCGGTGGTTCCAAACCATCATGGCTTTATGTTATGTTCCGGAAAAAAGCTCTTTTCTCACAAGGCCCTCTTGTTCTTAACGCTGACGATGCAGGATTTTCTGAGAAACTTTGGCCATCAACTGCCTACAAGATGTAAGACAGAATCGAGGGGCGTTTTTTAAGAGAGGTCAAGCACCTGGCACATGAGATCGCTGAAGAAGACTCGGGAGAGCTCTCATACGCTACCACTTGAGAAAAAGGTTGTAAATAATGAAAAGTCTTGCAGCAATACTCGTCAGAAATTGAAGAAGCACGTAAGCCAGCTGTCAGATAAGACCTACGTAGGTGAATGGGTGGGTACAGATGAATGAATCTATGGGATCGAATGACGGGCGAGAGCAATATCCGTCACTTGCAATGGGTAATTGTTAGAGAAACGTCCTACCCACGTCAGAGCAAGGATCACGACATAGACGACAATGAAAAATGGCATTAATCATCAAGTGGAATGAAGGAAATACGCGCTCATCCGTTCATTATTAATGGACTGACTAGAATTACACTGCAAAATGAAGATCAATGGTCTGTTATTAATGACAACGATCAAATGACGACTAATGGTGACAAAGCTTCATGAAGTCGAACATAGATACTGAGCAGGGAAACGTTGTCTAGCCATTCTGAAGGTACACCACGCCTCCGCTTAGAGTCGATATGTTGAAAGAAAGTCAAGAAACGGTGATGAAATTCTGTGCTGATAATCTAAGATTTGGGGTTCAATTTCCACAGGGTGGACCGGGCCTTTCGACCTTTCCCTTCACTTTAGAAAAACAGTATGTTGTCATCCAGGAAGCCAGGAAAGTACAAATTTCGAATCCTTCATAATTTTGCACCTTCTCTTTCTCAATCTGCCAAATACAGGAACATCGGCGCTCCAAGTCCATGGAGAAGGTGAGAAGTGCTTTGTTATTCCAGGATGCCGGGATGTCAATTGCACAGGACCAAAGACCTAGCTTACTAGGAACAGATACGTTTAGCAGACCGGACTGGATCGGTCTGAGCCAACTTGGTTCAAAATTTTTTGATTAACTTTGTTCGGTACTAAGTTGAATTGAAATCAAGCTTTTCGCGATCAAGTATTTCACACAGTCAGAAGAATTCTGAGGTAAGCAGAACTAGTTAATTATGGCAGCAAAGTTTGCGATTTTTGAGTGTGTAAGCTCAAAACATGCATTGTACCTCTATTAAGGAAAGCATCGAAATTTGAACATCCTAACTTATGGTCGGTAGATAGCTTGAACGAATTGGATCCCGAAGCAAGGGACTAGCCGAGATGTAAGGATTTGTTGGTCTAACAGGGGTTCCAAATAAAGGTTCAAGCTACAGAACAAAAGTGCCGCACGAACGCCTCTTAGAACTCCTCACGGTGCTGTTTTTTCAACTAACGTCACATTCAAATCATAGGCCAAGACAGAAGCCACAACACGGGCCAAAACTCTAGGCACAGGGGCGACGTGAACCCCTAATGTGCCATTGGAGCTCATTCTGAAGGCTACAGTATCAAACTTCGAGGAAGTTAATAGTCAGTCTTGAACCATATGAATATGGAGCAAAAGCAAGCAGGAGAGAAACACCAGACGCAATTCCCAGTGGAAAGAAATGTTTGTCGAATCCGTTCAAGAACCAAACTTCAAACATAGCTCAGGCTTACAGCAAGGCTTGTAAGTGGTGGTCGCAACAGTATAACCTTACATTAGAGTTATTTTTCAGAATTGGCAGCTATGAACTGTTTTTTTAAATTTTGTCTGCGTGACTTTTGAAAGAATCGGAGCAAAGGTTTCAGAATAACAGCAATTACACTCCAATTATCATTGTAGGGATCACGAACCTCGACTGAATTCGTTTTTTGAAAGTTTTCAATCGGGATGAGTCAACCGGAGGAGCTGAGATAGAGAAAACTGAGTGAAGCTATGATTGACGTTTTAACTCAAAAACCTAAGTTCAAGTGCAGAGATACCCTTGTGTCATATGGGATTTGAAGAAGAGCTGGCAAATGTGGAAGAGAGAGGCTAAAAATCATTCACGATGGGTAAGGTTTCAATAGTCAGACGAACTTGCTGAGATTGTATCTTGTTACGTATGTCACTTACAGATGTTGAGCTAAAGTAGACGAAATTGTACTCAATTAGCTCTCAGCCTAGGACGGGGCCATCAGAGCAGCATTTAGCCGGATACGAGTTCACTAGACTGTAAAAGTCATTTAAAGGACATCTGGTACCCTCCACAATCACTCAGGAATTGGAATCGAGAACATTTGAATCGGTTGCCAGAGATTACCGAGTTGGGTAGGTGGGGCAAGCATGGCTCCCAGAAGGACTTGAAACAGCTCCCAGAATGACCTGAAACAGCAAATGGTCTAGGCTAAGCTCACTTTTCCAGGCTCTCTCATCTCGACTAGACCACACTAAAAAGTTCTGCTCATGTATTTGTTACAGTAAAAGTTTCTCCGTTACCTGGACGAGAAAATTTGAGCTTTTTTTGTGCTTAAGCCTTAAATTCAAGGAAGATGAAGATCTCGCAAATTCAAGAACTTTCGAGCTGTAGCGGAGGATGGAGGTCGCTCTGGGTGGGTACTAGTAACTGGGACTAGACTCGCCTGGGAGGATAAACGTACTAACTTGTATATCGGCTGGCCACTGCAACTCATTGTTTAGGCGACATACGCATACAATACATCACACGATTCTGAGTGAAAATTTAAAGCGAAGCGCAACCCAATAACGCGACTAATCACTTCCAAACACATCATCCTGGTCCTTTGAGTCAAGAAAAAAAAGGTAAAAGAAATAAAAAGTGGAAAAAGAGAGACTGCTATCGATCGGCGTCTCCTCATTCTCAAAGAGGTACTATGTTATTATTTCATCCTTAGTAAGTCAGATGGTAAAGTAATTCATCGAAGGGATGGGGTCGCTATATTTCTGAGTTTGCCTTATCAAATTTCCATCCATCCATCTAGTTTCAGAAAACACTTGAGGACGCAATACTTCATAGATTTCCTTCGAGAGCTTCCAGTTTTCAATTGTTTGGTATATGACCATGTTGAAAGCCAATTTTCCAAACTCATAATCAAATTTTCACATAAACAAAGTGAAACGAAAGCAAAGTCGTAGTACTAGTAAAGTCTTGTAGTCTGATAGTAATGGTATAGCTTGGTAGTACAAGACTGATATTACCTATGCGTTCATACTTTCAAGTAGCATAAAAGATAAAGGATAAAGTTTTTGGCGTTAATCAATCCCGTCTGAGGGATGCGTCTACGCACTCGACTTTCATTCAGAATCGTATTGGCGTAATGAGTGCGTATGTGGCCTATACAATGACTTGCGGTGGCCAGCCGATGTACAAGTCAGTGCTTTTATCCTCCCAGACGAGTCTGGTACCAATTCACCGACCCCGGAGGGATGGAAGGCTTTGTTGGCTTAGGCAGGCGTCGATGGGGGATTCGAGCCCCTGACCGTGCGTGTGATATAGTGTGCCTTTTGCTACTACACCACCTCCGCCTACAAGTAGCATATAGTGAACGATTTAGCGGTCATGAAAGTGCGTGTCAGGAGGACAACAGGAATGCTCAGTGAATCCCATTTCACAGTTGCTTACGGGATCCATTTATTTATTGGATGACATATTGATTTGTTTGTTGTCAAGGAATCGATACCATAAAGCGTCAGCGTTGCTCAACACTGATAGCGGACTGATTACGAACTTCCTCTTAAGATGACCCTTCGTCCGATTTCTAAAGCTGCATATTGACGTTTTCCAAATTCATTCAGACTATAAATTCGTTCACTTTTTCTCTATCAAGTCTTTAATATGATGGGGAAATCTAAGGAACAAAACTTCACTAAAACCTTACAGTTTAACTTTACCCAACGGTATCCTATCCCTGAGTACTATCGAGCAAATACTGTTCATTTCCCTAACGGTTATATTGTGATAGTCGTAGACTCCATCGTATAATGGATCTCCTTGGGATATCTGGCTCCTTGAAAGTTGTCGAGGGGACGAGGGCGAAATTTTTTTCGGGCATATCTCTACAGACCGAATAAATTGCTCTTCTTCCTATCCACATCTGATTCTTTGTATGCCTCTCAACCTCTTTCTTATTCTGTTCTATCTAAACAATTCTGCGAGAAAACTCGGCAACTTTGATGTGATCACTTCAACGTCCTTCAAACCATACCATGCGATTATCGACTCCGAAATGTTCATAATGTATGGATGGACGGGTTACTTACTTTCCTGAGAATAGTGTAGTAATCTCGTCGTCCTTACCATTTACATACCACAAATGTCCGTTTTTGTTGACCTATTTGTCACCCTATTGTTGATTCTGTCGAAGTTCAACTGGTAAAGAGAATAGTTTATATTGTAGCCTCTTTCATACAAGCGCTCAACCCACATCCAGTCCCGCATCCTAAGGCTGTCGAGCCATTTTCAGCAAGCCCTTTTTCTATAAGTATGAGAAGCTCAACTTGATGTTATTTTCAGACCATCCGCTGAATGCCTTCTTTCTCATACTTTCCTCCAATTAGGTTGAATTTTTACCGAATTATCCGAAAATGGCTTGCTTGGAATTTTTTTTTTACTTCTAACAAAAGTGGATGGAGGTGGCGTAGTGGCAAGTGGCGCACTATCACATGCGCTTGGTCACGGGTCCGCCAAGGACAACCGAGCCTTTTATTCCGTTATTCGGTGCCAGACTCATCTGAGAGGATAAAAGTACATCCACTGACCATCGCACTTCAGTGTATAGGCCACATACGCATTCAATGCGCCACTGAGGTCCTGAATGAAAATTATATGCACTGGCGTATCCCTCGAAAGGGATTGAATAAAGCCCTAGGACTATTACGAGCCACCCTCTGTCAAAAATTACACAGTTTTTGAAGCTTATTTTTCGAGGATATCGGCCAGCTTAACTTCATTTTAGGGCTTTGCAGCTTTATGATGCTCTGCTGGGTAATTTTGCTGGTGCTCACCCTTGGCTCCAACGAGGCCTACAAATTCCTTGTCCACTCTCCCATATTTGGCTATTCTCATACAAACTTTATGGGCGTCATAGCAGACACCCTTACGGAAGCAGGACATGATGTGGTAAGTGGTGTTTCCACATTGTTTTGGTTAATGTATGCAGCTTTACCTTAGCAGCATCCTTTAAAACACAGCACAGGACTAAGACCTTTTCCGAGGTCTATCATTAGGAAGCCCATGCCCAAGAACCTATGGCCCCCAAAACTTGCACGACGTTGCTTTTTTGCTTACTCTAGCCTCCTCTGTAGCGATTGCACACACGGAATCTTGTCGAAGTACCTCATCTATGGCACTTCCGTCGTCATATATATCTTTTGAAATCCTAAATTTATTGTAAACCACCGATTTTTGCGCCTTCTTTGCTGATATGAACGGGTAATTCAAGTGTAATGTGGAATGCACCTCAAAAGGCGGAGGACCCTGTTCAGTAATTGATCCTAAGGGATGGGGGTGAGGAGATGGAGCTTTCGCATTCTTCCTTTTATATATGAGTGAATGTAGTCTCGCCTTCCGCATTACTCGCACTGAGCCCCATTTGTGGCAGGGGTCCGTTAAGGAAAAGCAGAATGAAGAAGCAAATAAGATATTGTAGACTGTCTTGATGCCAGTCATGGACGGAAAACAGGAGAATATGACTGGAGTGAAGTTAACGAGGAGGATTATCAAAGTACCCCCTGATCCGAGAGTTCAAGAGTGGATGAAGTACGAATCAGTCATGCTCAGCGAAGTATGGACAATGCAAACAAGTGTATTCAAGCTCATGAAGGTAGGGATGGAAACAGAAGATTACCTTTAAATTCACATACCTGCTATTACGTTGTTTGCAAATGTAGTGAAATTCTTGGATTATTTCGAAAACTTTCTAACGGTTCTGACTTATAGGTAATGCAAAATATGACTGCTTCATTCGTTGCTCAATGTGAAGGTGAGTGAAATTGACCTGAAAGCATTTCCGCTCTAATTGTAAGCTGCAGACAAGAAACTGAACTTTGTAGACTACAAAAAAAGGTCTTGAATGACTTCTACGTACACTCTAAGTTGAATCGGCCAGAACCTTAGCCTGATCAGGCTTATATACAAATCTTGTGAGAGTTTCGGAGACCAACTCAAATATCCTACATATGTGTGCATGTATATTTGCATGTATGTGTGTGTTGACTAGAAACTCATAGCATTTGATCCCTTTGACCTAGAGCGTTTACGTTTGGTAGGGCTACATAGTAATGGTAGATGGCACGACTAGACTCCGCTCTGGACGAAGCGTGCACAAAATGAGTGTCTCACCGGAAACTGAGAGCTCCTATATCCGTGGGAATATTGCTTTCAGAATCGGTGGATGCGTGTGCAGGTTAAACGTGTGCAGGCATTGGCTAGACGTCGATTCCTTAGACCTAAGAAGTGACTGATTAGCTGAGCTTCGGCTCCACCTACAGGAGCAAGGAGGGAAGCAGGGTTATGGGGAAGGGAAAGTGCAGCAGATGTATTTCATATTGGTACTTGTATTGGAACATGAACCCCTAATCCTCTACACCCTGAGAGTACGAATCGGGAAGGTTTACAGGCGGCAGATCAGTCAAGTGTTTTGTAATGAGCTCACTTCGAACCCATACTCTTTTCCAAGAGAGGATGGAAAAATATGTATATTCAACAACTAGAACTTTTCTTGGCCAAATAATTGTAAGTGTCCCATGTTCCATGAATGAACGCAAAAAATGGAAGTTTTGATTTTTTTTTACATTCTAAAACTAGACCATTTAGCTGTGATTAACGACGACCGGTTGATGAAACAGTTAGCTGAAGAAAAGTTTGACGTAGGGATTTCTGAAACCTTCGACATGTGCGGCTTAGGTGGGTGTCAATCGAGTAATCGTCACCATAAGTGATCAAACATCCTCAACATTATCAAGGGATCCATTCAAATTCCAGGAATATTTGAAGCTTTGAAAATACCATCATCAATAGCTACTTTTTCTGGTGTTCATATGGACGTTGTATCGAAAAGTATTGGAGAACCAATTATCCCAAGTTATGTTCCAGGTACGTATGGCTCAATAGGAGCAGCTAGCTTTCGTACCGTATAGAAATATTTTCATTGAATACAATTTTTCCTGAAAATCACGAATAATAAATTATTTACATTATTTCAGGTACTGTGGTGACCACAGGTGATCGCATGAACTTCATCGAACGGTTGACAAATGCTGCCCATGCAGTAATAGGACAGTTCTTTTTTGGCAGCACCTTCGCCAAAGAAGTCCAATCCTTCCGATCCAAATTTGGCCCACAATTCAAGAACTACGACGTGAGCTTGAGTTTTCAACTTTCCTGTTAATTTAGAAGCACAGTTCAAGATAAAAATGCTTAATGATCCTTCTTTCTAGGATGAAACCCTGATCTTGAAGGATAGTCCAAATACGCTGTAGAGTCGAAAAATGATCTAGAAAGATTGCAATAGGAGCTCCAAAACTGGCTTAACCGACATACACACCTAAAGGCGTACGAGTTCTCGAGACATTGTAGAGACCGTAGAGCCTGCAACATTCGCACTAAAACGCGGACGTTGCACCCAGGCAGCTTACCGTAGCCAGGTGGACACAATAGCGCGCACATTTGGACAACTCGTCCACACCCCCCAATGGGACTTTGTCATAACATTCTCCCCAACTCCTGATTTAATTAATTTAATTACTTTTTTTCAAACTCGTATTTGCATTCGCACTTGTAATCGGTAATCCCATGCATATCTTCCATTTAGAACAAGTTATTCTGTATTTCCTGCTAGTCCAAGAGATTAGGAAAAGTATTGTTTCAGGAAATTCTTGCCGATGCTTCTTATGTATTCACAAATTCGAATCCCTACCTTGACTATCCTCGTCCAATGCTACACAAAACTGTGCCTATTGGAGGAATAACTGTTCATATTGATCCCAAGAAGAACATTCTTCCCAAGGTTCGAAACCTTGTAAACTCTCGTGAATTTTTTTTATCACGCTAAC